GGTCTAAGTCTCAGTCATACAATGAAACACCCGTACCTTCACCAGTGCCCATTCTCCACCACCAAAAATCCCAGTATACCCCCATCCCACACCCTCCCTCTGCCTGTGGGGCAGATGATTTCCACATTACTCTCTTCTACTTTGATCACGTTCACTATTTCGACACCAGACCCACCATTATTTGAGATTTTACCCCAACACTCAGATCTGCTGAAAAGGCAACAATAGACAATTAGTGTTCTATTGCTGGTTATGAATAACATATGATGTCGTGTGGCTGTAGTAGGGCCATGTGGTTTTGAAATTCTGAAATTTTAACACTTAAATCTGGAGGGATTTCTGCCAAAAGCCACTGGGTTTCGAGATCTGCTCCTGAGTCTCTGGGATCATGGCCGTTGAGCAGCTTGATGAGGAGCCAGAGAGGCCGTTCGTGGGTGATGATTTGGGGTCTCGTTGGGGTGGGGAGGACAGGCCCGGCTCCACCCCCCCGCCCCCCATCCCGTGAGGCCCAACAAGTTTCGTCACTGCGGGCCCAAGCCTGACTGTCCAATGGCCTCTGGAGGATGACAGCCACCAAGTCGCCAAGAGGGAGCAGGCGGAGGGACAACACCCTTTCCTCCCTGTGGTGGCCCGGCGACAGTAACGTACTGTGGAATCCGGATGCATTTCTGCCAAAAGCCACTGGGTTTTGAGATGTGTTTCTGAGTCTCTGGGATCATGGCCGTTAAGCAGCTTGATCAGGAGCCAGAGAGGCCATTCGTGGGCGATGACGTGGGGTCTCGTTGGGGTGGGGAGGACAAGTCCGGCTCCACCCCCATCCTGTGAGGCCCTGTGTGTCTCGTCACTGGGGGCCCAAATGTGACTATCCAGTGGCCTCAGACGGATGGTGGCCACTGGGCCGCCAGGGGGAACAGGCCAAGGCACGAAACCTACTCCCACCTGGGTTGGCCCAGCACCGGTAGCCTACTGCAGAGACCAGACGCATTTCTACCTAAAGCCATTGGGTTCTAAGATTCGTTTCTGAGTCTCTGGGATCATGTCCATTAAGCAGTTCAATCAGGAACCAAAGAGGCCTTGCCTCCAATTATATAGCTGAGCCGGAGGTGGTTTGTGGGTATGTTTCCCACATACCTAACTTTTGGCCGTTTACTTTCTTGGTAAACTTTGCCCCAAGTTTTTGGGGTCTGGCCAAAGGCACAGCAGCAATTTTGGGGTATCTGGAAGTCTGAAGGCACCATGAGGCTGCTGATGCACTCGCCTCACAGGTACAGATTGACCTGCTGGCGGCACCATACCCCCAACTAGATGCAATTTTAAACTATAGAAAAATTACAAGAATACTAGAAAAAGGGACTAAGAAAATAGTTCAGAGGATTCCCCAAATTCAATTCCTGGTGTCTCATGGTTCCACAAGCTTAGCCAGGTAACCCTGGTGCCTGCTGGCAGCGCTGCACTAATTTGGTCTGTTTGGTCTGCACAGTCCGGCTGAGTGTCACCAGGAATGGACCCAGGAGCCCCTAAGCACTGGCCAGTAGATCTCTTAAAAGGAAGAAAAAAATTACAAACCCAGAACAATACAGAAAATACATATTCTCTATTTATAATCACCTATTGGTAGCACTGTAGCACTGTCCTTCCATTTTTCATCAATTTGCTCGAGCAGGCACCAGTAACATCTCCATTGTGCGACTTGTTGTTACTGTTTTTGGCATATCGAATATGCCACGGGGAGCTTGCCAGCTATGCCCTGTGGGTGGGATACTCTTGGTAGCTTGCTGTGCTCTCCAAGAGGGATGGAGGAATTGAAACCAGGTTGTCCCTGTGCAAGGCAAATGTCCTACCCGCTGTGCTATTGCTCCAGCCTCTAGGATCTTATTTTTATAAGAACATTTTCAATAGCAAATAGAACTTGTTTGATTTTTTCTAATCATTAAATCTTTAATTAGTAACATTATTTTTTAATTTTCTTTCACCTTTTCACTTGTATGTATTATCCTAAATATGATGTTCATTTTCATTTACTTATATACATTAAAAACCATTTTGATCTTTCAAAACCTATTTTTGGGGTTTTTTATTGGGGGTAGGGGCAGTGATGTCCAGGGGTTACTTCAGGCTCTGCACTCAGGAATTACTTAGTGCTTGAAGGACTATTTGGGATGCTGGGGATCAATCCGAGATTGGCTGCATTCAAGGGAAGTGCCTTATCCTGCTGACCCCAAGACCATTTTAATTAACAAAAAATTTGGGGGTTTATATGACACTAAAAATTCCTTTTAAGCTGCCATGCCAAAGAGATACAAAATTAAGTCTTCTAAATGGTATTGCAAAAAATTTTGAGTTATTTTCTTTTTTTCTATCTTTTTTTTTTGATTTTTGGGTCTCACCCAGCGATGTTCAGGGGTTACTCCTGGTGGTGCTTGGGGGACCATATGGGATGCTGGGAATTGAACTCAGGTTGGCTGCATGAAGGCAAATGCCCTACCTGCTGTGCTATCGCTCAGCCCCTGAGGCATTTTCTTATACAATGTTGCATACTGAATATGAAAACTGTGGAAGCATATTTGAATCACAGAGGATAATACCCATCTTTTGTTAATGCAAAGGTATTAAATAATATATATAGTAAGAAAAAAGTTATCAAAATGTAATTTTGGTCTGGAGTGATACTACATCAGGATGGGTGTCTGCCTGCATGCAGTTTACCTGGGTTCAATATCCTGCACCCCATATGGTCCCCTGGATACAGAGTTAGGAGTAAGCCGTAAGTTTGTATTATAAGCTTAATTATCTATTGGTAGTATTTGAAAGTAACATGAACATTTGAAAATATGTTGTATATGTTATGGCCTTTTATCTTGACATTACTCTATATAATATGCAAAAAGTCCATTACTCTAATGTACATTAAATACGTTACATTAATCCACATTTTCCAAGAAAAGGATATGAGAAGATTTCTCTTCTTCTTTCCCTTTATAATTGTGAGTTTGTAATTCAGCTGCAATGCTTGATTGTGGTATGCAGAAGATTGCACACACTTTGTTATGATATTGAAATTGTACATGGCATGTGAAGCAGTGCCTGGGATTAAATTTGTGGCCTTGTAGGCAGGCACTCGATAGTGAACTAGCCATCTTTTTTGGGGGGGCGGGGGTCACACCTGGCAATGCTGAGGGCTCTGCACTCAGGAATTAGTTTTGACAGTGCTCTGGGGACCATATGGGTTGCTGGGGATGAACCTGGGTTAGCCACGTGCAAGGCAAATGTTCTACCCACTGTACTATCATTCTGGCCCTCTTGAAATATTTATAATGTCAAAATTTTATTATACTGGATCAAGGGAGATGACTGAAAGCTGGAGTTCATGTTTGTTTCATGCTTGTCTTTTTCTTTTCTTTTTTTTTGATGGGTGGCACTCTAGAACATTGTTGATCTGGGGACAGGAGATCACTCTTGTCAAGATGGGCTGCATGTCCCAGTGCTTGGATTCAGTGATGCTCAGGGACCTCTAGGGCTATGTCCAGTGATGCTGGTGTGGAACATGCAGTGCTGGAGATCAAATGGGTGCCTGTGCCTCTGCATACTAAGCTCTTTCCATGGGCCCTCTAGTGAATGCTCTACATGCAGAAGCCCTGGGTTCAAACCCCACCACTGCAGCATCCCCTGAATTTTCACTTATAAGTTTACAACATGTATGTGTAGGAAAGAAGACAAATACAGCTTAGTATAGTTTGTGTTTTAGGCATCCATTAGGGTCTCAGAATGTATCCCCTGAAGATAATTGGGAGATACTGTAGTATAAAATTCTCTTTGACAGAATAATAGGGGACCTTGCTCATATTTAGCATAGAGAAAAGGAAAGCTGTGTTCATCTGTCAAAGATAATCTGGTGGGGGCTGGAGAGATAGCACAGCGGGTAGGGCATTTGCCTTGCACGTGGCCGAAACGGGTTCTATTCCCAGCATTCCATATGGTCCACTGAGCACCGCCAGGAGTAACTCCTGAGTGCAGAGCCAGGAGTAACCCCTGTGCATCACTGGGTGTGACCCAAAAAAGCAAATAATAATAATAATAATAATAATAATAATAATAATAGTCTGGTGACCATACTGTTAAACTAAATTTGATCTTCGATAATAGTTTGTAAAATAGAATTCAGTGAGGATAATAGGAACCATTTTGGATTTTGGACCACACCAGTGGTGCTCAGGAGCTTTTCCTGTGTTTGTGCTTGGGTGTTGCTCTTGGTGGTGCACAGGGGACCATGCAATGCAATGTTCAAACCTGGGCCTCCTGTCTGAAAGACCATGCTTCTGTGCTCTGGCTTATCTCACTCTGTCCAGCCCCAGAAGCTGTTCCTTCCTCCCCAAGTGAATTCCTACTTACTTGTATACTGAATAATCTCTTTAAAATGTTTCAAAACTTCTGTCATTGTGGTATCTCAGTGGGACCTGAGCAGCACATCTTTATTGGTAGCATTATGAAACTGCTAAAAAAAATGGGAAGACTACCTGTCTTGGCTTTCTGATAATTCTTTTCTTCATCGTCAATAAAAGCCATTTTCCTTACTCTGATGTTTTCTGATATACTATATATGCTGCTTAGATTTCGGAGTTGTATGTGATAATTACACAGTGTTCTGCTGTCCTGTCACTGTCCTGTCCTCCTGTTGTTTATCAATTTTGCTCAAGCGGACCCAGTAACATTGTGAGACTTGTTACTGTGTTTGGCATATCAAATACATCATGGGTAGCTTGCCAGGTTTTGCTGTGTGTGTGAGATACTCTTGGTAGCTTGCTGGGCTCTCCGAGGGGGTAAAGGAATCAAACTCGAACTCGGGTTGATGGCCGCATGCAAGGCAAATGCCCTACCTGCTGTGCTGTTGCTCCAGCCCTAGTTTTCTGCTAAGACTTGTAATTGTTAATTCATTGGAAAGGGGAGGAATGGCTTTCATCAATACAGAAAACCATACATCTGCTTCTTTGTTTGATTTTCAGAGTCAAATGGTACAGTCAAAGAGTTTTCTCCAAAAAATGTCACATATGAAGTTGCATCATCCCACAATTTATTAATGGAAAGAATTTTAAGTGGAGGCCCTGCATATTCCAATTTTAAAGGAGGCTGGAAGTGTGAGGATAACACTGAGATGAAAGGAAGTAAAGGATCTATCAGACAAGTGACAGTCGCTCTTCCAAAATCCTTATCTCAGCGAATGAGTATCAGTACTGTGGAGAGGCCGTATGGATGTCATGAATGTGGAAAATCGTTCAGTCGGCGCTTTTCCCTTGTCTTACATCAGAGAACTCATACTGGTGAGAAACCCTATGTATGTAAGGAGTGTGGCAAAACCTTTAGCCAGATATCGAACCTTGTGAAACATCAAATGATACATACTGGAAAGAAACCCCATGAGTGTAAGGACTGTAATAAAACATTCAGTTACCTTTCATTTCTCATTGAACACCAAAGAACACATACTGGGGAGAAACCTTATGAATGTGCTGAATGTGGAAAGGCATTTAGCCGTGCCTCAAACCTCACTCGACATCAGAGAATTCATGTGGGAAAGAAACAGCATGTTTGTAGGAAATGTGGGAAAGCCTTCAATAGTGGCTCAGAACTTATTCGTCATCAGATTACTCATACTGGAGAGAAACCTTATGAATGCATTGAATGTGGAAAGGCATTTCGCCGTTCGTCACACCTTACTCGACATCAAAGCATCCATACCACCAAAACCTCTTATGAATGTAGTGAGTGTAAAAAAGCTTTCCGTTGCCATTCATTCCTTCTTAAACATCAAAGAATTCATGCTGGAGAAAAACTCTATGAATGTGATGAATGTGGTAAAGTTTTCACATGGCATGCATCTCTTACACAGCATATGAAAATTCATACTGGAGAAAAACCCTATTCTTGTACTGAATGTGACAAAACATTTAGTCGGAGCTTTTCCCTTATTCTACATCAGATCACACATACCGGTGAAAAGCCCTATCTATGTAAAGTATGCAATAAATCTTTCAGCTGGAGCTCAAACCTTGCTAAACATCAGAGAATACATACCTTGGAGAACTATGAATATGAAAATTCATTTAATTACCATGCATTCCTTACTGAACACCAGAGAATTCATGCCATAGAGAAAATCTAACAAAATATGGATATTTATATACATATATACATGTGTGTATATATATGTATGTGTATGTGTGTATATATATGTGTATATATATGCATATATTTTAACCACATCTGGCAGTGCTCAGGGGCTAATCTTGGCTCTGTGCTCAGGACTTACTCTTGGCTTTTTGCTTGGGGGACTATATGTGGTGCCAGGGATGGAATCTGGGGTCAGCCACATGTAAGGCAAGTGCTTTGCTTCTTATATTCTCTCCCATCCAGTTCTGAGTTTTGGTTTTGGTTTTGGTTTTTGGGTCATACTCAGCAGTGCTCAGGGCTTACTTCTGGCTCTGTGCTCAGGGCTTACTCTTAGAAAGCTTGGGGGACCATATGGGATGCTGGGTCAGCGACATGCAAGTCTGCAGTATTATCATTCATGACCCCAGTGTGGATTTTAAAAGTTCCTTAATTTGACGTCAGAGAACTGATGGTAAGAAGCCTTATGTAAATGTATTGAATGTGAAGATATGTGAATCATATCTTATTTAACATTCTGGAGAAAATTCAAGGAATATGTAAGCCATGAATAGCTTTGATTGTTATTTTTGGTAATACCAGAAGATAAAAATCAGTTGGTATTGATAAGATTCCTCATCTGATAGGCTTCCCATAATCTCTATTTGTGAAAAAATTTTTTTCAGTACCATAGATCTTAACCAGGGTGTCACATGTGCCAGGCAAGAACTCTACTACTGAGCTACATCTCTGCTCTACATTTGTAAAATTTTACCAGGAAAAGATACATGTCAAATTGGAGATGAGTCCTCATTGAGTATCTAGGCTTAATCAGGACAAAATGCATGGGAAAGGATGTACATTTTCGTGGACATCAGAAAATTTAAACTGAAGCAAAGTTATGCTAATTGATTGGTAATACCTTCTTGTACCATGCAATATTTATTAACAATGTAAAAAACTTAGGAGAAAAAGATAACTGCAATATTTTAGCCCTGCAGAAGTTGTACCAGACAAAAACTTAACTTTGTGTGTAATGAATGTGACATAATCTTCCAGTTTTGAAGAGTACTGAAAGGTATCTGTACGGGAAAGTTTTTTTGTCCTTTAAAGGATTTTTTATATTGAGCATATTCAAGGAAGATATGAATAAATCTAGCTTTATAGTAAGTGGTATTTCTTGAGTTTTTTCCCATAAAGTATGTGTGATTCTGAAAATACAACTACTTAAGATATTGATACCAGTAATGAAGGGTAGCAGACTTCTGTAGGAGCTTATATACACAAAATTATAGAAACATTTTAGATATCTTATAGTTTTAACTTTGAGACAATTTGAATGTTAGGTAATGTTATCTGTCAGGTTCCTGGTCAGTCAACCCTGGCAAACTGGAGTATGATCCCCCAAGTCACTGAACTTACTCCCTATAGGAGAGGGAGTGGGATGGACAGAAGCCTCTGCCCTGGCCTCCTGCGTACCATGGGCCCCCGCCACCACGAGAAAGAACCACACAGAGAAGAGGGAAAGCTGGAGGTCAAGCAGCTCTCCGTTTATTAGCTCTCACACAGGGGTATTTATACATACATATCCAAGGGCAGTGCATACAGCTCGGCACAGGCGCAGTACAGATGTTAGTTAATGATTTACATTTCCCGCCTTCAGGGCTGGGTGTGTTACACGGGCAGATGGTAAGGGTACATCCTACATCCCGTTATCCTCTCAACCAGAGTGCCTTTCTGGATGGAGTGCTGGCCCAAGGCCCTGGGCCCCCGTGAACAGAGCCAGCACCTGTTTCCAAGAGCAGGGAATTTGGCCAGGGTCTCAGGCAAACTGCCAAGACCCCAACAGTTCTCCTTTAGCTTTTAATCTGAGTACACATTTCTTACTAGTTCTTAAATGAGAGGTACATCACAGGAAGATGCCCAGGTAATTTACTTCTTTTGTGTACAGTGAGAACATCGGTAAGCATGAATCTGCTCTGGCATCCGCTTTCCAGCTGATGGCTTATACAATAAAACTGAGCTTGTTTTGATCCAGTAGTTAAGAGATTTTCTGTTTTGGTGGCACACCCAGCTGTGCCCAGGGACTACTCCTGGTATTGCTCAGGGTCATACTGTCAGTGCTCAAGGAACTATGCAGAGTTGGGCGGAGAACCTGGACCTGCCACATGTGCTATTACTGCAGAGCAGCAATCTTATAGAAAGAAATAGGTACTGTGGATAAATTGACTTTATTGATCATTGATATTGTGGGAACTGTTTTAAGGATTTGTAAAAGGTGTTCTTTATTTTTTTTAAATTTATTTTTAATTTCATTGAATCACCATGAGAAAGTTACAAAGCTTTCATGTTTGGGTTACTATCACACAATGATTAAACACCTATCCCATCCACCAGTACACATCCCCCGCCACCAATATCCCCAGCATACCCCCCTTCCCCACCCCCACCCCCGCCTCCATGGCAGACAATATTCCCCATACTTTCTCTGTACTTTTAGGCATTATGATTTGCAATACAGACACTGAGAGGTCATCATGTTTGGTCCATTATCCACTTTCGACATATATGTCCCATCCCGACTAATTCCTCCAGCCATCATTTTCTTAGTGATCCCTTCTCTATTCCATCTGCCTTCTCCTCTCCACTCATGAAGCAGGCTTCCAGCTATGGGGCAATCCTCCTGGCCCTTGTATCTACTGTCCTTGGGTGTCAGCCTCATGTTATGCTATTCTATACTCCACAAATGAGTGCAGTCTTTCTATGTCCATCCCTCTTTTTCTGACTCATTTCACTTAGTGTGACACTTTCCATATCTGTCCACTTCTAAGCAAATTTCATGACTTCATCTCTCCTAACGGCTGCATAGTATTCCATTGTGTAGATCTACCAAAGTCTCTTTAACCAGTCATCTGTTCTAGGGCACTTGGGTTGTTTTCGATTTTTGCTATTGTGAACAATGCTACAATGAACATATAGGTATCACTGTATCACTGTCATCCCATTGATCGTTGAATTACTCAAGTGGGCAGCAGTAATGTCTCTATTACTCCCAGCCCTGAGATTTTAGTAGCTGCTTCTTACTCGTCTTTTCCCAATGATTGGAGGCTCTTTCAGGGTCAGGGGAATGAGATATATTGTCGTTACTGTGTTTGGCATATCAGATATGCCACGGGGAACTTGTGAGGCTCTGCCCTTGCCGGCGGGATACTCTCGGTAGCTTGTCAGGCTCTCTGAGAAGCATAAATGGGTAGGAGGTGTCTTATAATTCGGAAAGCGTCCTGGAGCATGGCAGTGGTTGGGCAGTGGAGGTCCGCTGCCAGGGCTGGGTCCCTTGGGGTGGGGAGGGCTCTCCCCCGCCCCATAGTCTAGTGTAGAATCTGGTGGCATGATTCTGGGAGCCTCCATTTATACTCCCATCTGGGAAGAGCATCCATGAGTTCTGGAGTTGTTCTCATCGGCCACCCTCCAGAACTCACGGATGCCCCTCCCACACGGTAGTTTAAAAGGAGGCTCCCAGAACCATGCCACCGGACCCCACACCAGGCTGTGGGGTGGGTGGGAGCCCTCCCCATCCCAAGGGACCCAGCCCTGGCAGCCGACCTCTACTGCCTAACCACCGCCACACTCTAGGCCGCTTTCTGGATGCTTAGGCCAAGCTTCACGCAAGAATGAAGTCCCACGGAACCCAGATAATGCGGAACATATAGATGTCATTTCTACTGTGACAGATGTCATTTCTACTGTGTTGTTTTTGCATCCTCGGGACATATTCCCGAAGTGGTATTGCGGGGTCATATGGAAGCTTAATTTCTAGTTTTTGAAGGACCGTCCATATTGTTTTAAAAGGTATAAAAGGTGTTCTTATGTATCTTGTTTCATAGTCATTTTAAGGAGGTGGAAGTCAGAGAGAAGAATTTCATGATCCCTTTGTGGTTCCTGGAACAGGAGAGGGTTTTGCATAAGTGGGCAGCTTGTGGTTCAGTTTCCCATAGTACTGCTCTAATGATACAGCAGACTCAATGGTAATGTAGTGGTCTTGACAGGTTCCAGCAGAAGAATCATAGCACAGACATCTAGGCTTTGGATGTAAGGCCATACCTTCTCTTCTGTGATTGTTTTATTACTGGATTGTGCCTAGTGTCAGGATACATGGCAATAGGTCAGGAGACTGTATTATCCAATCTTCTCATCATGAACTAGGTTATTGGATATCTACACAAAGCATTATAGTATAAAATGGGAAAGATACAAAATAGGGATCATGAGATCTCATGCAATAAAACTACATGAGGAAAAGGGTTTAGACTTCAAGAAAATTTGTTTGTCTCTTTTTCCCTCAAACTCTACTTTTAGCCCTATGGGAAAATTTTCTTGGTAAATTTACAGAAGAAAAAGTAACAGGTTGATGGAGGGATTTTATTTTGGGGTGAGAGCATCCAAAGTGGTGTTCAGGAGCCTGGGGGCCTGTCCTGACCATTCTTGGTCAACCCAACTGGCAGTTGGGTGTGAGGGCACAAGCATGCAGTGTTGCTCAAGCCCTACTATGCTGAGGATTACCCATTTATGGTTTGGGTCTCTTGTACCATATCTGGTGGTATTAAGGTGTCTGTGGGACTGCGTCTGATGATCCTCAGGGAGGCATATGGTGCTGGGATTGAAACAGAGTTGACCACATACAAGGCATGTACCTTAACTTTACATGCCTTTACTTTCTGCTCTGTATGGTGGGATTTTTCTTATGTGTGCCACCAAGCAGTTTATGGCTTCTTACATGTTAATACATTCAGGGATTGCAATACAAATTTTATAAGAAGGGGTAGGGGAAGTAGCTCAAATAATAGAGCATATGCCTAGAATGTGTACACCTCAAACTTTGATCCCTGACAGGGCACGGCCCCCTGATCACTGCCAGTTGTGGACCTGGTGGCTCCTGAATTTTTCTGCGGTGGCCCTTAGGCACTATTGGGGCAAGCACCAAATTGACAGGCCTGTCTTGCCACTGGGCTAAGCATAGTAGG